AACGGATCGCAACCCTCAGTGTTGCGCCCGTACCAGACCAGGACCGGCAACGGGATCGCAATCCTCGGTGTTGCTCCCGCACCTCGCCCAGCCAGCAAGCGGCCGGTCTGTATGTGGGATCCGAACCCTCGGCGGGAGCGCTACCATGCTTCCCAAGCGGTGCACTGTAGCAGTGCGCCACCGGGCCGGCCCCGGCTGTGAAACTTCTTGAAACTGGGTGGCCGTTGCCATGTTTCCCAACCAGATCTTCCTTAATGGAATCAGTGTGAAGCACTGGAAAAAGCTTGGCAGGCAGAGGGTTCAAATCCCAGCCCAGCCATTTGCTGATCTTCTCACCTTGGGCAAGTTACAAGATCCCTCAGAGCCCGTTTCCTTATTGGTGCAGTGGCCTTAGCATGTAAGGCTGCTGTGACAGCCAGAGACACTGCAGGGGAGCTCCAAGACCTGGATGGTCATTCAGTAAACCCACTAGCTTGTCATCCCCTCTGAGGCAGGAACTTTGTTTTGCCCACAGCTATATCCCAGCATCTAGAACAGTCCCTGGCACATGGTAGGTACCTAGTAAATATCTGCTGAATGAATGAAATACCCTATTTCATCTATTCCAAGGCGATTTTTTCCCCTTGCATTTTTTATTTTATTTTATTTTTTTTAAAGATGACCGGCAAGGGGATCTTAACCCTTGACTTGGTGTTGTCAGCACCACGCTCTCCCAAGTGAGCCACGGGCCGGCCCTTACCCTCGCATTTTGACAGCTCTGATATTGGGATGCTTCCTGTCATTTATGGCATGTCTTAATTTAATTGGCAGCAGTCTTGTAATTGAGAAGGGTCTTAGATGTGATGAATATGGAAGAAGCTATCGTTACTATTTAGAGGCAGCCTTTTGCTTAACTTTTGGTGGCCTTCTGGTTATCTCCTGTTGTATCTGTCCTCTCTGGGGTGTGTGGGGTCTCTGAAAATTGTCCAGGGGCACAGGGGCTGCAGTGATGCTTGCCAAGGCCAAGGTGGTGCTGGGTTG